ACTGATTCTTCTAAACTACCTTTATCTTCATTAGAGCCTGTAAAGTCTTCATTAAAGCCCAAATCAAAAAAAGTACTCAGGATGCAATATTTTTTAAATGAACAAAGTATCTAAAAACAGATAGTTGGAGTTTAATATATAAAATGCAGGAGAAATTGCAATTCTGAAACATCATTAAACTTAGATGCATCTCATTTTAAGAGATGTTTATATGAGACAAAAATTGCATTATGTTTCTGTAACGCTATACATCTCTTTGTATATTTAGAGAAGCTTTGAAGACATCCAATGACAGAATACTCTTTAGCGTTCTGTTTATTTAATTTATATAATATTCTAAAACTGAAAATAAGATTTTATTTGAGGTAACAGGGATCATATCTAATGAATATGAGGAATGATTAAGAACAGTTAAACTCTTCTTTGTGGAAAAGCCCTGGTGAAAATCACAAAATACATTATCACAAAATACAAAACCAAACCTTTTCTGGCCTAACTCACTGAAATCTTTTCACAAATTGGTTTACCACTTCTTTAGAGAAGAGAATATTTACTAAGCATCTTTCTGGTAATTTTTTTAAATAATATTACCATCCATTTGAGATTCTAACATGTGATCACATTTGTGTTCATCATCAGTACTCTGACAAAATATTTCATACCAACAAAAAAGTATTACAGCATGTTGAGACTTGATTTCTGTAGGTTGTATGTAAAATTTCATAGATCTTAATTATGATTTTAGCAGATTTAAACTTTTGCTTAGTGTTGTTCAGATTTTGAATAAATAATAACTATTAACTGTAGGAAACAAAAATTTCACTTCAATTATTTCCATATACAGATGGTAAAAGATTACACTGGTCATCAGAATTAAAGGATAATGATAAAAATAAAATGCAACTGATACTTAATGAAAAATTATAAATAGAAATTTGTACAAAAGCATTAGTTTACACAAATTGCAATATTTGGCAGTTGACTATTTGCAAAATGTTGAAATTAAAAACAAATTTATGGAACCTGGAAAATGATGCACAAATTAAGTCACCTCTTATGAATTTTTTTTTTCTTTAAATAGGGTGTATAGTCACTTTGGACATATATGCATACATGCCATCTTAATTTCATACTCTTTACCAAAGAGTTGATCAAGTCTAGTGGAATTGCACACACTCCTGAAGGATCCGAGGAAGAATTTGGCCTGCTGAAATTTGGTGCCTTAAAGCATCCCACGCATGTTCAACTGGAGTAAGTGGTCAATCCATTTGAGGGATATCTTTTGTTTACAAGTATTCTGACATACCATATCCTCAATGAGGACGAGAATTGCCATCCATTAGCAAAAACACTAGGCTAACAGCATCCCTAAACAGTCTAATATGGAGTTCCAATACCTCATTTACATATCTCTCCGAGCAATTACAGAACACTCCTTGAAGGATATGCAGCTCGGTGTGGCGATGTGTGATGATTCTTCCTCAGGCCATTAACCTGTGGTCACAGAAATGGGATATTTCACAGACAAAAGAAGGCAAGTTGCATGTTCCTTCCTCTCTTCAGATCAAAACACATCTAGAATTACTGATCTGACTAAATCTGGACTCGTCGGTAAACAATACTCGGGCTGTCTTCTTGGCTCTATTGTACATGGCACCAATTTAAACGAGACCCTCTAGAAGCTGGAGTGAGTGGGACACAAACTAATGGTTCTCTCGCATACAGTCCAACCTCGTTAAGCCTTCCTGCAGCAGAACAGCTAATGTGAGTTTCTGTGGCAGTCCGAAGGTCTAATCTCTTGTCGTTGTCTACAACAGAAAATGGTCTTCTTATGCTGCTGTTGCTCTTCTTTTCCCTTGACTAGGCTATTTATCAATTGATCCAGAGCTTAAAAAGTGGCTTTTGATATGAAACTTTGAGGGATATTTAAATCTTGGTCTACCTCCATCTATGCTTTGACCCCCCCCTCGATTCTACCAATTAATCACCACTTTTGATCTTCACTTAAATGATGCCTTTAAGCCATAACTACTGAATACTGGTCACTCTCAGAAATCATATTCACTTTCCGGAATACCAACATGCATTCACTGTATATGTTGCACCACTGTCAATCACCGAATTTGCATATTTCTGACGCTTACATATGCGCAGGAGTGCAATTTTGTGTTCAGTTGCATTAAATTAACATAGATAATTACAGCACAGGGCATTGGTTTCAACAATAACTTAGTGAGCATATTTTTTCTTATTATAATTTAATTTTGATGACCAGTGTCTTGTAATTAATATGTATCAGTTAAACAAGTTAATATGTATTAGTAATATGTGATCATGAGTTGGAGTTTAGGTCTACCCAACACACAATCATATTTGTAAAGGATGACTTCAAGTTATCCATATGCATTAATAGCCTAAGACTATCTAGCCTTTTCAGCTTGCTTCCATATTTCCCACTCCTTCATCAAACTCAATATGTTTAATTAAACTGTACCTCTTCCCTGCTCTCTTGATGTATGGGAGAGCTACAGATGAAGCAGACATTTGACTTAGGACCACCTGTACTTTCTCCTTTTTGCTACAATTTAATTGAAATTACTTCACATTGTACAATTACAATTCAAGTGAAACTGATTGTATTAAAAAAATGAATTGTTAAACCTCAAATTAAAACAGCCCTAATTCTGGATGTTATGCAATGAATGTTTGAATGTTTCAACACAGTTATTCAGTTTTGACTTTTTAATACATTCTAATTAAATTTTTTAAAAAATTAAAAATTTTTAAACGAAATAAATTAGCAAGCATGAAATATATGGCTTTTTCCTGAATTATAACAGCTAAAATCAAATCGATCTTAATTAATCAATCTTATTTGATGATGCTACATTAAATCTAGAGATTTACATGGATGGTTGAAAAAAGACCAAATTTTTAAAATTATGCACCAATGACTGACTGTAGGTGTGGTTCACCCCCCAAGTTTAATTAGCGGCATATTTTAGTAACATATCACCTTCTACTGGGTTCTGGTCTATGCACTTGTTGTCAAGCAACTACCTTTTGAGTGAGGTCGAGCATAGGCTGATCGGTGGATTAGTGAAAAAGCAAAAATAAAGGAGTTGGAAGAAGAATGAATCTGCGTAAAATTTTTCACAAAACTGGGGAAAACTTTGACAGAAACATTTTGAATGCTTAACCAAGCACACAGAAATGACTGTAAAAGTTGAATGCAATACTGTAACTGATTTCGATGTTTTAAGGAGGGCCAAATGTTCGGTTGATGAAGATCTAAGAATTTGAACTTTCACGTCAGCAAATGACCAAGATATTCAGAACGAATATTTAATTTGTACTACATGACAAACAAGGAAGTCTACAAGAGCATTTTAACATGATTGAGAGATGCTGTGTGTATGAAGAGACCTGAATTGGTGAAAGAATCAGCTCTGGATGCTGCACCACGACAATGTTCCAGCTGATGCATTGCTTCTTTATTACTAATAATCTAACAAAACATTCTATTGTGCCCCCTACCCTACTCAGTTCTAGCAGACTTGTTTTCCTTTACCAAATTTAAAACCACTTTAAAAGATGAAAGGATGTTGTTTTCAGTCTATACAAGAAATTCAGGAAAATGAGACTACAGTATTGCCTAACATAGTTTGAAACTAAAGAGCAATGCTTTGAAGCAGACAGTGGTTGAAAGTTTATATAATTAGCAATATATAGCAGTAAAAATTCCATCTTCTTTTGAACAGTTCTTGCAAGTCATCATAAGCAAACTTTTCACCAAAAAGAGTGAATGTTCAAGCAAAATAACAAAAAAAAAAAAAAAAAATAAGAAGCCACTCAGCAGCTTTCCTCTTTGTGTTGCGTTATGCTTCATTAATAGGTCTCATTGTATGGTCTGCTGCTTTACACAGCTTAGCAGTCATTTGAATATCCTTTTAATTCTCTTTTACATTCAGTTTTCCTCCTTTGTCTCAGGAATATTTGTATTTCAGGATTAATTTTAAAAATATCTGTAGTAGCACTGACTGAATTTTTTCTTTGGTGCATACGTTTCCTTTTTATCCAATAATTTCTAATTAAAACAGGGGTCAATAATGACCACCTAGAGGTTGATGAAATTTTACAGAAGGTCAATGTGATCAAGAAGTTAATTGGGTGCTCACAGCCAAACACACACTGGCAATTGATCTGCATAGTCAAGAAACTATTGGTTACCAAAATAAGTAACTAAAATAGATAATTAATTGCTTATTGATATAAATGTGTAACATGTTGTAAGGAATATATTGTACAAAATAAACATAAGGGTGAAAACACAAAAATTATTTAATATTAAAAAAAATATATCGATATTTTACACAATAAGTGCAAAATAAGTCTGTTTCTATTTTCCTTTTTTCAAATGTACAAGAAAGTTTTAGTCAAAACAATAATTTACTAAGGGAAAAAAAGAAACACGTTAAATACTGTTGAATGAGGTGACTTACAAATTAAGCAATTTTATTCCAACCATTAAAAATACTGCATCTATACACCAAGTGCAGTCATCATACCACTACTTAATACTGAGCTTTTATGCAATTTGAATCTGTAGTTTTGTTTCTGTAAACTTGTTTACATTTATGAAATGAAAAATAATAATATTCAGATAATAAAAAATAAATATGGCAAATAATTTTTTTAAACCTTTGTTTATATTCTTAGTCTAACTGTTATCTTTATGTTAGTTATGTTCAATTATTTGTATATGATAATGTTGCATTCTGTATGTTATAAAGAAAACTATAAGGCCATCATGCAAGAAAAGGGATGGGTAAACCCCGAACTAAAAATGACCTCAACTACAGTTATTTTCTGATAATACCGCTTGAACTAACTGACAAAATCACAGCCTTAAACTTTATAGATATACTGCACTCTTCTTTATATCAAAACTTAGATATGTACTACATTTCAGGTTTTGATGGGAATGTAAAAAAATTTACTTTGCTGATGTTGATGAATCCTGAGAGTTTTAAAGCAGATGCCAATTTTGCTGCAGTCCGAAAATTTGGCACATTATCTGGAAAAAAAAAAAAAAAAAAAAATTGAAATATAAACTAAAGAATTTTAAATGATTAGAAATTATCACTTAACATAATGAGTAACTTTATAAATTTCCAGGGCAATGAGATGCAAGTATTTCTTCTTGGGGAGGGGGGAATCTATGAAAAACTAAATTTGCATTTTTAAGTTAAAATTTTACACTGGCATGGTCTCTTTCAATGAGGGATGCCTTCCGAATATTATGATTAATAGTACAGCAACAGTCAAATAATTTCCAAACACATTATGAAAACTTCATACATGAACTTTTGTATTAAAGACATTTTTGAATACTTCATAACAAATTAATTACAGTGCTGTAAAAATGTCTACCATATTTATAAGCAAATTTACCTCCTTCTTATGACAATTACTAGTAGTTTATTCATATATGATTTTCTTTTTACAAGTACAGAAAAAACATAATGAAAACATATTTATAAATAAACTACTGTAATTATCAAGCTGGAGGAATACTAGGGGAAATGTACAAGAGTAAATGCGATCATATGTTTCTTTTATTTTTATATTAAATTAGCTAAATTACATTGGTATTTTGAAGGATATTTTTTCATCTTTAATGTTAACAAAGTAGTGATGAACAAATAAAATCACACTAATTAAGCAGAATCTAGTGTACTCGTACACTACATAGCATAAAAAAAATAATGTAGCATACTTTAATATTTTGTCGGGCCATCTTTAATATGAATTTTAGCATGGTATGCCATAGGTTGTTTCAATTTGTTGAATAAAAGTCTTCGGTAATTTCAATAGCATTAACTGGTCAAATTAAAGAGAAATGATTTTGAGAAACATTATTTTTTTAAAATTGTTTACTTAGCCACTTGCTGCAAATTTTCTAACTCTCCTGGATAAATAGTTGGCAAAGTGTATCACATTTTCAAAAAGGTAAAAGCATAAGAAAAATATAAATTCATGTTTTTTTAAATAAAAAATACTATAGAAAGAAAATTATTTATTTATATTAGTATTATTAGGCTGCATTGCATCTCCCTTATTTATTAGCAACAAACAAAACAATATTTGCACCAAAAACAATAAATAAAAATAAAGGAAGAAAACATCTACCAACTCCCTTGATGAACAGACATCTAATAAAAGAAAAAATATTCTTCAGCTTCAGGTTTTACTACTTCTAGACAGTTAAATCAAGTATAACTCTTATAAACAGGATTAATTATTCTTATGCAAACTGTATATTAAATAACTGAAAATTTAATTATACACTAAGACTAAAATTGTGTGGTAAATGGTGGAATAGCACACATCAGATGCTAGCTAAAATTAGAACTTTAGCTATGACTGACAACTGCAGTTTATGTTCTTAATTATTATTATTATTTTTCATATTTGTCAACTTAGTTGTTTTAAATTGAGTGCATTTATGATTTAGGATAGCAAAATGCTGAATACATAGTGAAATGAAAGTAAAATAAAAATTTAGTACATTTTCTCAGATTTAATATTTTTTCTTACATAAATTAACACCCAGAGCTTAAATTGCGCCGGAGCCTGGCTCCGGTACTTCTTAGTTTTTGGAATATATTCCCTAGCCGGAGTGTACCGGAGCCCTAAATAAGAAGGATAAATTGTTTTATGTGATAATACTTTCTCTTTAATTCTATAAACAGACATAATTTCTTGTTCAGTTACAAAGTCCCGCTGTTCAAGTCCTATAATTGCTGTGTCGAGAATATCGACTAATTTGTCAATTGAAATTTTTTAGTTTTCAATAACCTCTCTGTCACTTCCTTCACTATCGGAAGCGAATTATAATGACAAGGAATTTGATTTAAATCATATCAAAGACGGAGTACATTGAGATGAAAATACTACATTTGTCAAGGAATTATAAGCAAATAAAAACATCTGCTCTGAAGATAAGGATAGTGCTGACAGATCAGCTTCCAATTCATTGCGCGCCTCGGCGTCCCCCCCCCCGGCAGAGCAGCGTGAAATTGATAAACAGGTTTCGGAATAGTTAGAGAAACAAAGGATATTCTTTAATCCATTTTTTGCAGCAATTCCACTTTTTGTTTGATGGACATCGAAACATACTTTCGCTTTGTAGATCCTTTGGGAGCTCCAGCATCGGAAATTCTATTTGACATAATCGAAAGTTCAAGCTTACTTTTATAAAATTGCTCTAACAGTCTGCAAAAAATAATAAGAGGGATCCAATTCGAAGATTAAGGAACAACGCAATCTGCAACATTAACTGAAATAGATAATTCGATAATTTTAGCCTATACCGTCCGTTATACATTAAATGCGCATGCGTAAACGTATTATGCTCATGCGCACACGCATATGCGCTGCCGTAAAGACAGCCTTGGCTAAAATACATGGACTGGTTATTCAACACGACGCATGCACATAGAAAGTTTGTAGCTTTGAGGTCCGGATTATAGATCATTTCGGATTATGGGTGTCCGAATTAACGACTTTTGACTGTATATATAATAATTCCAATTTGAAGTCTTATCTTTATACTTACTATCAAAATGCATTTTTTTTCAATTAACCTGACAAAAAATGGCTTTTTATCACATGTCAACTTTATTGACAATTTCTCATAACAGTTACATAATTCAAAATAGTCCTTCTTCCCATTCTGAGCATTACCTTGATTACAACAACACACATTGTACGATTTTACTTCATCAATCATTTCAAAGACATTTAAAACTAATTTTCAAATAAATATTACCTATAAAGTTGATGATTTAATAATGTGCTGAACAGTTGAAGTGCTGTAGGTGATTTTGACTATCTATAATATTGACAGATTTCCTGTATCTCAAGCAGATCAATTATTTGATCCTTTTCTTTTTTTTAATTATGTAACCATGGCAATGTCTTGAGCACACAATACTGAATCAACATTAATTAAAAGTTGCACTATAAATAAGATCATCCAAAGTTTCAGAATACTTTATCAATTACTCAGTCCTCAATATTTGCATGTTCAAACTTATGTTGTGCTTTTTATTTTTATTTATTTATTTATTTATTTATTTTTTTTTTGAGGGGACAAGAACTTTATAATGGCTACAATTATTTCCCTTATATTCCCTATATCTTCTGTTTACTGAACGATGATTCCTTAATTGATCATAAAATTATGAATTTTAGATATTTGATAAGAATATAGAAAGATTTTTGAAACATAAAGTAGTTTATTATAAGAAAATATACTTCATTTATTTGAATGTAATGTAAATGCACACAAATATATGCCAGCAATGATATATAATGCAGTTACAATATTTCCTAGCTTAAACTAGAACTATGCTTATAAGGACATGGCAATACATGAGGATCTGAATACTATTTTAATTTACAATGTAATAAAAATATATACAAACATAAAGTAAAGAGTTAAAAATATACACATAAAGTAAAGAACACATAACACAGAGTAAAGAGGTAAAAATAAAAACAAACACTGTTAAGAACAGGAAGGGAATACAGCATTAATATTTTAGACATACTGAGATATGAAAAGATGTATTAACCTTTCCAGCACAGTGTGCCCAAAACATGCCCATTCCCTGCCCTCCTCTCTGTACACACAGAAAAATTGATTGGAAAAGGCTTTACAGGTTGCTTTTTAACCTTCTTTATTTATACCAAATGAGAGAATAATATAAACCAGTCCATATATTTTAGCCATGTTTAGTTTTTAAAGACCCTCATTTTTCAAAAAAATCTTCTAGATTAAGATATAAAAGGAATTGTTTCAAAAGAAATTTCTGTTATTTCCTTGGCTGTATGCTGATCTCTTTATTCTATTTAAATTTTAAATTTTTGCCTTGAAATCTTGCCCAGTATTGAACAAACACCTGGTGTGCCCACAGTGGGATCACTAAAACAACAAGACCAGACCAACAACTTGTTTCACTGCAGTATTTTCTTTGAGCTCATTCAGAACAAAAAGGTGGGTGCATATCTGTGTTTCATTTCCTGTTTTTTGGAGGGAGGTTTGGTTATCAACTAAGAAATTGTTGGGGTGTTTTTCTGAAGGTCAGGTATAATTTTACCAGTTAGCTATTTGATTTTTCACTACAGTAGTTCTCATTTTTTTCTATCGCTTTCATTGAAAGAAGTTTTGTTAGCTCTATGTTTTGATAGTTTTGACTCATAGATATTTATTTAATTTTATACTTTATATTTTCTTAATTGTAGATATAATATTAGTTTATTTGTTTTCCAATTTTCAATTATTTTGCAAATGGATTGCAGAGGGCTGACTATTTCTGAAGCGTTAAAAATGCTAAACGAGTTACCTTCAGATAATGAATCTGATATGGATCCTGATACATCTGATATGGATCCTGATAGTACAGAGAACTGTTAACACTACAATACGTTTAAAAATTATCATGAGGATTAAACCTCTGGCCTGGAAGGCAACCAGCAACTGAGTAAAACTGCTAAGGTAAGCGGCCTGCTTCGACTAACTCCTTTCTCTCTCACTCAACTCCTTCCTCTCTCTCTCTCGCTTGGCAAAAAGCCACAACTTAAGTACTTGGTGTTTGCCAGACAAATTTTGCATAAATAAGTTAACGCTTTTAATTCTGGCTGGAAGTAGAAAATAAGAAGTGATAGTAAAGATTTAAAATAAAAATAAACGTTAGTAAAACTTAAGATCCTTACAGAGTGTGGAGTAGCAAGCCTCCCCATGATGCATTCTGGGTAATGCTAAATCTGCTATGGTAATCAGAATCTAGAGTTTTTAATCATAGGCAAAATCTTTTACGCTATTTTGTGCTTCTCAGCCATGCTTGCTTCAGCGCTCCCTTCGAAGCTCTATTCATTCAGTGAGGCTGCTTTGAACGCATCCACAGAATTAAAACAGTACAAAATTTTGCCTGTGCACTCCTCTAGGACTGTTTAGACTACTTACTTTTTTTTTTTTTTTTTTTGTTGAAATTCCAACTTTAAAAGGTA